ATTTCTAGGTTGTAGAGGAATTCTTTTCTTGCCTATTTGGAGGTTTTATGTTTTTCAGGTTCTTTTTTTTTTTTAATTTGCAATTGGAAAATATTCTAAACACAATGGTAAAAAAAATTATTATTTTTATTGATAATTTTCATATAAAACAAAACCAAACGAATGATATTCGATATGGTAAAAAAAAATTGATTTTTTTTTTTTAACAATTAGAACAAATTCTAAACCCAATGGTAGAAACAATTATCATTTTAATGAACAATTTCCATAAAAACGAAATCAAACGAATAACAAACTTTCAACATTTTCCAGGTGGAAAATTGTGCCAATCAAACACAATTAATTACAATTCCTAGTAAAACAATTTCTAGACACTTCAATTCCCTGTAAAATATTTTCTTTCCACCAATTTTCCACATTTGCAATTAAACGGACTCTTAGTAATACTATATTATTATTATTATTATTATTATTATTATTATTATATACACTTGTTTATTTCTTCTTCGATTTAACTACATAAAAATCATGTAAGAATCGGTTATGTATAAATATGGAAAAATGACATTCGTGTCAATTTCGACCAAATATTCGATCTTGATCCGATAGTCAAATTATAAAAATAAATAGACTAACTTGTTCTACTAGTCGAGTAGATCATTGTGGTATATCTGAAATCTCCAAACCAATTTCNTTGATCCGATAGTCAAATTATAAAAATAAATAGACTAACTTGTTCTACTAGTAGAATAGATCATTGTTGTATATCTGAAATCTCCAAACCAAATTCAAGTTAATGAGAAATTACGGTTCAAAATTGGAAAGAAAAAGAGGGGAAACTGGCTGGGTATTTATCTAACTCCGTTGCTCGTCTAGCGCTCAAGCGATGAAGCTGTCAATTGAGCGACAAATGAGTGAAAGAGTCTCTGTTTTTTATTCTCGAACGACGCAAGGGTACAAGCTAGCGACAACAAAAGCTGCGACCCCTGCAAATGTTGTTGAGTTTTGGGACGTGACACTTCACTCACAACATTTTCTCCTCTATAAATAAAACCCTTTGGACGTCCATTTTATCATCCCAATAATACGCAATCATAGCATAATATAAAATTTCATATTTTTTTGACAAACTTTTGCATAAAAGCTATTTTTCCATGTCATTCAAAATGAGTACATTAACATACTTTTGGTTCATTGATTCTTGTGTTTTGAAGTGTTACTAATACAAGAAGATTGTCGTTATATCTTGGAAGTTGATTTTCATCATCCGTAAACATTGTCACGGGACAATTAAGGATAAATAGTTCAATTCTTACCTCAACTTTGCATCCATTTCACTTGGCGTTATTCTGACATTTCTTATTTCTTGATATTTATTACTCATTTTCTTACTGTTGCCCGTTCAATTTTAGGTGAAATTGGTAAGTTTGATTTTTTATTTAACCCCTATTTGAGCCATATTAAAATTTTCATTTTCATTCTTTTACTCATTTTTAACAATACATTCTTCAATAAAATAATATATTTCATCACATCATTAACTTTTCCTTACTTTTTTAATCACACATTCTCTATCAATCTACTATTTTAAAATACATTTTTTCCAAAATAATGTGGCCCAAACACACCTTTAAATCCTTGCTCAAATCCATTTTCCCTTTAAACAAATTATTCTAGGTAAAATGTTATATGCCATACGGACCAAGATATGACATCATGATTACGTTATACTGACGTACAAAGACAAATCCCTGAATCTCAAGGAAACTCTTACGCGGACCTGGCTACCACTTTGTCCCCTTTGACCCTCCATCTAACGACTTTCTCCACTCACNACATCCCTTTGATTCTTTTCCCATTAAGCATTTCAATTTTCAAAGAGAATTTCAACTACCATACATAGAAATTTTGATTTCTTTCATTGCATTTTACCTTCGTACTCCAATTTCTAGTGTACATAACACGATTTCTATATTCTTCTAGAACCCATTTTTCAAAATAAAGTATAAACAATAATCGTGCAGTCAGAGAAGAGGGCTACAGAAGTAAGATTGTGTTTGGACTGAACGCGTGTTCGAAGAAGAAGTTGACCAATAAGGAATATGGACAATAAGTCAATCGAATCGAAGAAGGTGTTGAGTCTTCTTTTGTCTATTATGCTTGATCGATAAATTAATTTTACCAATATTAAATACTCCCCCCCCCGACCCGACCCGACCCGACCCGACCCACCAAAAAAAAAGTGCTAATTACGTTTGCATTGCATAATTTTTGTTGATACCAAAAATAATTATAATTGCATAATCTTTCAGCAAATTCTTAAGTCTTATCATTTTTCTGAATTTGTTAAAAAGTCAGTCCAACACGTTATTCTAACCTTAGAGCTCTTTCCAAGTTTATTCTTATGTATAACGTGAAACACAAACTCTTACCCTATCAAATATTTAGTTTCGTCATGCTTTGGTTCTAATGACGTCATTGGGCCCATTAGCCATCTGGCCTTGACCGTTCATCTTTGAATGTCTTCTTATTAGCCTCCTGTCATATTTTTATTTAATTATTATTAATGATCTCGAATTATCATAATTCTTAAATAAATGTTCAACCATCTTTAGAAAAAAATAGTTTCACAAAAATACAATATTTATTGAAATCCTGCAACTTCATATTATGTTCGGCCCATGTTTGTCATTCATTTTGTCAAACATTGTTTGTTACAGTAAACAATCTCCTGAATAATATTCTACACACAAACCAATAAAATTACTTTACTTTTCAACCACACATTCTTCAAAAAATACTATTCAAAACTCTATGAGACTTGCTATATTTACAGCATTTTTACACATACAATTTGACAGTCCTCTCACATGGAGGTGGGGCCCACAATTCTCAAGCCCTACACTCATGTAAGAGGGTTGTCAAATTTACTGTGTAAAAAGACTGTACATTCAGCCTTTTTCAAACTCTATTTCTTCTATCAAAATGGAAGATAAACAAGCCATCAATTTATTGCTGAATCAGTGAATCTTTTGAATTGATATTTTTGTAGTGTCAAGGGATTTTCATAGGACCGAATTAAAGTTAGTGACCTACAAAGGATGAGAGGCAGACAATCCCACCAGTGATTGTGTCTTCCTCACGCAATCCTTTTGTTCTCAAAATTGAAAAAAAGGGAGAAGATTCATCAAGAAGAATACTATGTCAAGAAAATTCCGAGTTTAGCAGCCAAGACAGACTGAAAAAATTAAAAGAACGTTGTTTTCAGAATAAAGTTCAACTGTTAGGCAGTGTTTGATATACCTCATTTTCCCAAGGAAAAGGAAAATGTTTTCCCTTTCTCACCGTTTGATTGCCAAACTTTTTCCCGGAAAATGTTTTACACCCTCTCTTCTCCCGCTCCTCATTTCTAGGTTGTAGAGGAATTCTTTTCTTGCCTATTTGGAGGTTTTATGTTTTTCAGGTTCTTTTT